CAACTCACGAACTTTTCGAGTTACAAACGGACATCCAGAATGGATTAAATTCGTAAGTCAAGGGCCCACTGTATATATTTAGGAACTGATAGTTGAAACAATTTGAAATATTTTGTTTGGATTACATAAAATATATTGCTTTAGAACATCTACTGTTTTAACACACTGTGAAATTAAGTCAGCATTCATACTCACTTTGTCAAGCCAAGAGTTGCAAACCTATCTCAAATGCAAGTTTCAAACAGTGGTTACAATAGGACCCCTGCAATTAGCATAAATTATAGTTAGCATCTGTGCAGATATTATGCTATGGCATGATTAAGACTAGTAAGGAAAAGGAAAGGAAAAAAATTAAGGAGCGAACATGTCTGGATATTTATGATCCGGGCTCCAAATTTGCGAACTAAATGTTACAGGAAGCCAGGCTCCCCACGCAGCCCAACCTCAGGAGGTCGCTGCAGCTGGTCCTGGCGCTTTGGCAGGTGGATCTGGAGTAACTGGTGCTGGCAGTGGAGGGGCCTTGAGGCACCTCTGTGCCAGGATTCACCCTTCCACTGCCACTTCCAGCTCAGCACTTCCAGTTCCGGGTCCTTCGGGTCTGCCACCGCCACTGTTGCAGCACACCATCCACTGGTTTTTGGGTTTTTTCCCCCAGTCTGGGCACGTGGGCCCAAAAAGGTTCACCACCACTGTTCTAGACAGTCATATGTATTCACAGAAGCCTAATCATATCATAACGAGTACTCAGAGATTTTTTTAAAAGGATATTACAAAACAGGAACACGGTCCCAATTCTCCTATTGAACCTAAGGTCAGACCTGACCATGATGACACATGTATTTATTTATTTATTTATTTATTTATTTATTGGACTTATATACCGCCCCATAGCGCTACAAGCACTCTCCGGGCGGTTTACAATTTTTTAATTATCCAGGCTACACATTGCCCCCCCAGCAAGCTGGGTACTCATTTTACCGACCTCGGAAGGATGGAAGGCTGAGTCAACCTTGAGCCGGCTACCTGGGATTTGAACCCCAGGTCGTGAGCACAGTTTTAGCTGCAGTACAGCGTTTTAACCACTGCGCCACGAGGCTACCATATCTTCTAGACTGGATTAATACAATGTGCTTCATATGGGAATAGGACTAAAAGGAAATGGCAACTAGTCCCACACGCAGCACTAAAAATGTTGGTGGGCTCCCATTCCCCCTTATAGAACCTTGCAATACCAGATGCACAGTGGCTGTAAATTATTTCTGTGAAAATTGAAGGAATAAATGATGCCTTTAAAGTCTTTAACAGCTTAGCTACAAAATGCCATAGTGATCATTCCTTATCTTACCAGCCTGCTCACAACTGAATGATGAGGCCTTTCTCTATGATCCAGCTGTGACTTAGGTAGGAAGGGGAAAAGAAAAAGGATCTTCTCCAAGGTTGCACTAAAACTATCAAATCCTTTACAGCAAGACACTTAGTTGATACCTTGTTTGAAAGTATTTTGCCATATGCTAAACACCTCCTTGTCTAGATAAAGCATTTATTCTATTAGTCTTACAATATATTTTACCTGATTTATTTCATTGGAGTGAAGACAGAAGAATCATATAGGTACAAACAGAAGAGTGAGCTATAATTTGCAATAAATCTAAACTGTTCAAGAGTAACTTAAGAACACAGTATTTAAAATGGATTTACCCCCTTATATTTATATGGAAGCATTTATTCAGTGGTAACTATACCAAACTACACAAAATTTCATCCTTGACTGACATTTACCATATCGAGTTGATGACTTAAGCTTTTTACAAATGTCTTGTCGCTGTTGTTGTCCCATACCGTCAAGTCATCTCCAGCTTATGAGAAACCCTATGAATGAGAGATCGCCAAAATGTTGAAAAAAGGGCAAAGTCACATTTGAAATCACAAATGTTGATGGTTTCAAATGTGACTTTTGGGGGTTTATCTGAAGGCTGAGATCCAACAATAATCTTAATGTGTTCACATATTTCTCTGATTGTGCCTCTGAAACTAAGCATCCATTTTTATACCTTCTTTAGTTATTGTTATTATATTGAGTCCTGCCATCCTTGTTTGGGATGCTTCCATAATGACTTAATTTGGCTGTGGAAGCTTGAAAGTAACTGCAGCTTTTTTGTCCTTTTATATAAATTCTTGATTCCTTAAAGACAGAGTTGATGGTTTCTTTCAATATTCTTTTACCAAATCCAATACTGATGGCAACATATTCTTTGCACTTAGATAACATGAGTCCCTGTTATCTAAGTGCAATGGAGAGGGAGGGGTGATGGGGGGACCTTTTGCCTATGCTTTTTTATTTTTTATTTTGTTTAGTTTTCCTTAAATTGCTTTCTTTTTGCATAATTCTATATGAGTTATAGTCTTAATTGTTTCATTTGTTCATGTATATTGTTACTGATGTATTTGCATTTATTATGTTATGGTTTGTTTATTTTATTTTGTTTGAACATTTGTTTGATTTGATTGTTAATTATGTTACTAATTATTGGCTACTCTTTAGTTGTTAAATCTTTTGGGGTTTTTCTTTTCTTTTTTGGTTAGCATGAAGTGGAAGGCTCCCCCCCCCCCGAGGAAGCCTTTTTAACAACAGGGAGATATGGTGTAGGTGCTGTTGCCATTCATTCTAGAAGAATGGTGAACAAATGCTTGAATTCTGGCACTGTGACCTTCTGCCAGACTCAAGGTAGTCAACTCAGCCGGCCCTCCACTCTAAACCTGGTGTTGTTGAATGCCAGATCTGCATCAAATAAATCCCAAATTATGCAAGATCTGATTATGGAGGAGGATGCAGATCTGGCATGCATAACTGAAACATGGATGGGCAGGGAAAGGGGCATTTCTCTGACTCTTGCCTGCCCTCCTGGTTATGCAGTCAAACATCAGGTTAGACTAGAGGGGTGGGGCAGGGGACTAGCCATTGTCTGCAAAAACACCCTTCAGGTTGCTAGGTGCTCTGCTCTGATGACATCGGGTTTAGAGGCCCCCTCCATGTGTCGATTGGGACCAGGGATGGTATAGGGATCTTGCTGGGTTTCTGCACTCCCCGCGACCCAGCCATTTCCTTAGTGGAGCTGGCAGACTTCGTCTCCGTGGCACCACTGGGGTCCCCAAGGCTTTTGGTCTTGGGTGACTTCAACGTGCATGCGGAGGCAGAGGCTTCTGGTCCAGCTCTTGTGTTCTTGGAGACCATGGCCTCCTTGGACATGTCCCAACATGTCAACAGCCCTACCCACATGGGTGGCCACACACTGGACCTGGTGTTCTCCACTGAGCAGAGTGAGTGTGCTCCAATGCTGACTGACCTAGTGTCTGTTCCCTTGTCATGGTCGGATCATTGCCTAATTAAACACAACCTGGCAGGGTCTCTCTCTCCCCGCGGGGAGAAAGGATCTGTTTTAATGGTCCGCCCTCGAAGGTTATCAGATCCTATAGGATTCCAGGATACAATGAGTGGGATTCCAGTTGATTTGACTGGCACTCCTGTCGAGGCTCTGGTTGATAGCTGTCTGGCCGCCACCACCACGGCTGTTGACACGATTGCACCTAAACGCCCTCTCCAGCGCAGAGATCGCCCTTTGCCCTGGTTTAATCCAGAGCTGCGATCAATGATGCAAAATAAGAGAAGGCTAGAGCGCATATGAAGGCAGAACCCGGCAGAAAATAATCAAATAGTTGTCAGATCACGACTAACCTCTACCAATCTAGTCAATCTTACTTCGCTGTCTGGATAAGCAAAGCGTCCAACCAGCAGGCGGAACTTTTCCATATAGTTTGCATTTTATCCAGAGTTGGTCATAGTGACTGGCCTCCCACTAGCATCTCACCTCACCAATTCGCAGCTTTTTAGAAATCAAAAGTTGAGGCCATCAGCTGGGATCTTACCCCCATTTGAAAACAGTTGATCGAGCTGAGACGTCCAGCGCTCTGTCTTGCCCGATTAGACTTAACCACTTTCAGCCTGTGACATCAGACATGGTAGACAGAGTGCTTGACCACTGTTCTGCCAACACCTCCTCCCTTGACCCTCCAAAGGAAACTCTCTTTCCTTTGGAGAGGTGACTCTTACCACCAAGACTGAGGTTCACAGTTTGGGTGTACATCTGGACCCGGTGCTCACCATGAAGACCCAGGTGTCATTAGTGGTCCGTTCTACACATTTCCACCTTTGGCGGATTGCCCAGCTGTGTCCCTACCTTGATGTGGGGGTGCTCCCCACTTTGGTCCATGTGCTCGTAGTCTCAAGATTAGACTACTGTAATGCACTCTACGTGGGGCTGCCTTTGAGACTGATGCGGAAACTTCAGATGGTACAAAATGCAGCAGCCAGACTTCTTACAGGAGTGAAAAGGTACCAACATATTTTCCCCACGCTGGCCACCTTGCATTGGCTGGCCATTCATTTCATTGATTTCAAGATTCTTACGATTACATATAAAGCCCTAAATGGTTTAGGACCTCGATATCTGGCAGACCATCTTCTCCCACCCAGTTCTGCCAGTCATTTGTTCCAGCCAGGTTGGGTGGCTGAGGAGCCTAAAGTTGAGGGAGGTCCAGAGGGAAAGGACGAGGAATAGGGCTTTCTCGGCAATGATCCTCGCCTTTGGAACAACTTGCCAGTGGAGATCCGCCTGGCTCCCTCTCTGGGCATTTTCAAGAACAGACTTAAAACTGGCTATTTGGGCAGGCTTGCCCTCCTGCCATGTCTTAATTTCTTATACTTCGCCATCTTGGACCGATAATATATGTTTTTAGTTTTATTGTTTTTAAATTTGTAAACTGCCCAGAGTAGACCTTTGGTATGGATGGGCGGGATAGAAATCCAATAAATAAATAAATAAAATAGCTATATGGGCATGTGTGATAGCACTTCTTTGGACCTTAAGTGGATCTAGTTTGGTTTTAACATTTTAATCTGATTATTTTTCTTTTCTTTTCTTTTTCTTTTTTGCTTTTCTCAGGAGGTCACATTGATTGTGTGATGCTGACTTTGAGTGACAGGAATCTTGGAAGGAGACCATGATACCTAGATTTTCAGTCCTTTTGACGGGTGAGTGTTCCTTATGAATTATTTTAGTCTGTTTTAGTCTCTGATGCACTTGGAACTGAACTTTGATTCCAAGAGGTTTTAGGCACTGAGTGTTGGTTGCTAAGGGCCTTAACATTCTGTCTGTCCATGTTCTTTGATTCTGAGTGTTGGTGCTGAGGTGCTTTTGTGGTCAAAGCTTTAGACCTTGTTTTGACTTTGGAAGGTTGCTTGGAGTCACAGTCTGATGTTGAGAACCCTGATGCTGAGTGGGTGCCTTTCCAGGCGATATAATCAGAAGGCTCCAGAGATTCCAATGGATAGTCTCAGTTTTCCACACCAGTTTTAAGAATATGCAAAAGTGAATTTCAGGCACATCCCTGACTTGAGTACCTAGTTACAGAGCAGAGGTTGGGAGTTTGATTCCCACTGTGCCTTTTGGGAGAACAGCCAGCCTGTGTATGGCAGGCTGCACAATCCCAAAGCATTCCCAAAAGAAGAAAATGGTAAAGTGCTTCTGAATACTCTATACTTAAAAAAACCATGGAAACTCTGGAAAGGTGTCATAAATTGGAAATGGCTTGACAGTATGAAATTATTATTATTAATAACCATACACATAGGCAAGATTACAAGACAGCTTTAAATTAGAACAAGATAACAAATTGGTAATATCAGACAGTGAAATGTACATGTTATTCTAACACTGAGATGATGAGTGGTCGAGTAGACCAGATAGGCGAGGTATAAATTAAATAAATTAAATAAAAATAAATGATGTACCACATTTTTTCGTGTATAAGACGCCCCCATGTATAAGACCCCCCACTTTTCTAATCCAAAATTAAGAAATCTAAGTGGGGCTTAGCAAGTGGAGGGGAAAGCACAAAGCCCTGCAGGATCACTTTGATTCCTGCTTTCCCTTCCACTTGTTTTTATTCTCTCCTGAGCTTGCTTCTGTGTATAAGATGACTCTCAATTTTTAGTCTAAACATTTTAGACAAAAGTATAGTCTTATACACTGAAAAATGCAGTATTCCATGGAATAATATCTGTTCCAAACAGATAGAAAGGGTCCTTTGGAAGAGGAAGCTAGTTGTATTGTAACACTAAAAAACAATGACTTCTGTTAACTTTAATGAGTCTGTCGACCTTCTAACATTGCTTTGAGACACAGTTGTTTCTGACTGGGAATGGAGGACACATAAATCTTGCTGCTTCTCTCCAGCTTATGGTTGCACAGGAGACTGAAGAGCAAGTACGATTTAATCCAATACTGTAGCTTCATTGTTCAGAGTGAGTAATTAAACCATAGGGAATAATGGTTTAGTATATACAGTATGCTGCTGTTTTCATAGCTTATAAGGAGCTTGCTTTATCTCTGAAAAGTAGAAAATCCCTTTTGCATTTCTAATATGGCACAGGTTAGAATTTTGTTTTAGAAATATATGTCAATGATTATACAACACCTGTGTTATTAATTCAACAATATTACTATATTAGTTGGTATTTTAAATATGTATTGGTCATGATACTAAATCTCAAGCACATATCAAAAACATATTAATGGCAGACTTTCAACAATCTATCATTGATTTCATGGACTACATAAATCCTGTATGCTAATGTGTCTACTGTATTCTGTCTATTTATTTACAGCATATACTGAATGTTCGCAATCAATTGTGCAGGAGACTCCCAGATATGAAGGGTTTCTTATTATTTTATATGTCTGTGATTTTATCGTGATTTTATTTGATCATATTTATATTTTAAACAATTGTGACTGCTTTTGGCTAATACAATAAACTTGAACTTGATAGTAGTTATATCTTTATTGCAATTTCCCTGATGAAGAACTGTTACAACTAGATAGACCTGAAACACATTGGAATACTACATAATTTTAGCTATCATCACTATTGTTGTTTTATTTGGGGGGCTTATTCCACGCTCCTATTTCCTATCAGCCTTCTGAACTTCAAATGCTAGAGTTGACTAAGTCTCATTGAAAAAGCTGAAAAATAAGTTTGTATCATTATATCCGCATGTTTCAGGATTTTCAGACTGATAAAGTAGTATTTTCAAGCTTCAGTACCACTTGAATGGCAGAATCTTTTAGGCAAAAAACAGAAAATATACTGAATGGAAAGTTCTTTATCCAATCCCACAGAGTCCTTTATCACTTTAGGTTTGACAAGACGCCTTCACTTCCTCTGAAAATGAACAATGTATCATCAGATAAAATTGTATGAATACACTCTTTTAACCACTAGTGATTTGGTTCTGGTACTCAAATAACTCACTGGAGCATCAAGGTGTTAAAGATTATGTCCTCTTTGCTTTGGCTTCACAGGAAGAATAGCTATTCCATTTACACTACAGAAATGTAAGAACAAAACAAAAAGAAGCAGCAGCAGCAACAGCAACATCACTGGCAGCACTAACAGAAATAAACACAAGGGAGTCAGACCGAACAGAATACATAGCCTCTTTTGTTGGACAGTGAAAATAAAGTCTCACAGGTAATGCTTTCAAGTTCTGGATTGCCTGTTTTGGCAAGGAGGTACTTGGTTGTTTAGTCATTAAGTCGTGTCTGACTCTTTGTGAGCCCATGGAACAGAGCGCGCCTGGCCCTCCTGTTTTCCAATTTCTCCCAGACTTCGGTCAAATTCATGTTGGTACTAGTCCCCCGGCTTATTAAACTTATATGCAGAATACATCATGCAAGAGGCCAGACTGGAGGAATTCCAAACTGGAATTAAGATTGCCGGAAGAAATATCAGCAACCTCAGATATGCAGATGATACCACTCTGATGGCAGAAAGTGAGGAGGAATTAAGGAACTTGTAATGAGGGTGAAATAGGAGAGTGCAAAAAACAGTCTGAAGCTCAACATCAAAAAAACTAAGAACATGGCCACTGGTCCCATCACCTCCTGGCAAATAGAAGGGGAAGATATGGAGGCAGTGACAGATTTTACTTTCATTCATTCATTCATTCATTCATTCATTCATTCATTCATTCATTCATTCATTCATTCATTCATTCATTCATTTATTACATTTTATACCCCGCCTATCTGGTCATTGCGACCACTCTAGGCGGCTTGGGCTCCATGATCTTGGGCTCCATGATCACTGCAGATGGTGACAGCAGCCACGAAGTTAAGATGCCTGCTTCTTGGGAGGAAAGTGATGACAAACCTCGACAGCATCTTAAAAAGCAGAGACATCACCTTGCCAACAAAAGTCC